CCTGGAACTCCCTTGGTAGCCCAGGCTGGCCTCGAACTCACAGAGATCCGCCTGGCTCTGCCTCCCGAGTGCTGGGATTAAAGGCGTGCGCCACCACCGCCCGGCTCGGCCTGCTTTCTTATAGAACCTAGACCCACCAACGCATAGATGGCCTATCCACAATGGCCTGGACCCTCCCCATCCCATCAATCACTAATTAAGAAAATGCCTTACAGCCAGAGACATTTTCTTAATTGAGGTTCCTTCCTTCCAGATAACTCTAGACATAAAACTAGCCAGTACACCTGCCCAGATTCAAAAAGAAGCTATGTTAGAACAGCTCCGAGAAGTAATATTTTACTATTGAGCAAACCCTCAGACCCAAATGTGGGCTTCCCCACCCAGGAATGTGCTATTGCCCACAAAATCGCTCCTAACCTGTAGGCTGAGCAGTCATGAGGAGACACAGTACAGTGAAGGGACACTTCAAGGGATCCAGGAAACTGTGTGGATCCAGCGTTTTCTACAGACTGAAGAAATACATGCCTTTTATGCATAACACACTCCTATCTTTAAAACAGAAATTCTGCCTTTGTGACTAATAAGATGTAAACGTCATTTGAAATCTCGGCTGAAGCTAGGTGTTGAAGTTTTATATTCTATATATTTATAGTGTCTTAATCATAGGTACAGAAAATATCGCAGACATTTGGGAGCATTTTTTTTTTTTTGCTTAGAAGGTATGACCATATCCCCTAAATTAGAAGTTACTGTCACAACTCAGACTCTATAAGGAAAGGCTTGTTGGAATACAGTCTCTCTGCCTGCCAAATCTACAGGCTTTTAAACTATCTCGACACTCCGACCCTGTGCAGACACTCTAGCCCTCTAGTAACTCTAGCCGCACTCTGTGTTATGCCTACCCCGCCGCCACTCTGCACTACACGCCTACGTCACCACATCTACGGTCCTAACTATTAGAACGGGGGTAGCCAGCTGGCCCAATCAGTCTTTGGCTGGCCCTGACCCACGAGGCGGCTTGGCCCAGAAAGGTGTCAGCTATGGACAAACTGGGCCTCTTGGGCTTCCGTTCAGCATCTGTTTTGGTTTGGCATTAATTAACAGATGATAAATAGCGCACGTTTATAGGGTACACTGTGATATTTTAATACATGCTCTGTGTAATTATTAAATCAAGATGATTAGGACTTTAACCACTTCTCATTTCTTGGTGGGTGAGAACATTTTTTTAAAAAAATCCCCTCTTCTCGTTATTCTCAAGTACTTAATATGATCCAGTTCCATCGGAGTCACCCACCTTCTAGCAGAAACACTAGAAATGACCTTTACCATCTAATGGCAACATTGTATCTGTTGGCCAGCCCTTCTCTCAGGCATTTGAACTCAGATGTAGAGACGTACACTTTATGAGACAGCTGTCCACAAGGACTAACAGACCAGGAAGAAGCTGAGTTAGAGAAAAGATGAGACAGGGGGAAGCTAAGAGAAAAAAAAGCCTGGATCTGTGAAAATAGCGGGGTGGGGTCAACATGGCGGCCGCAGGGCAGTGAACGCAGACTCACACGCCCGTGGAAGAGCTTGGGCCACATCTAGACCTACACATCAAATCTCCGGGGTTTTCAGGCGTTGAAAAGCTACAAAATGGTGGGTGGGTGGAAGAAAAGCTACAAGTCATTCAGATCCCCGCTGGAAGGGAGTCCTCATCTCAAGCTGGCTCCCTTGGGTATTTCATGACATCTACTGTATTCCCAAATGTCCCGTGTCCACCCTAAGACTTAGCCATTTTCCATAGCTAAGTGGATTTCTTTTTTTTATTTTCTTTCTTTCTTTTTTTTTTTTTTCCAAGACAGGGTTTCTCTGTGTAGCTTTGCGCCTTTCCTGGAACTCACTCTGTAGCCCAGGCTGGCCTCAAACTCACAGAGATCCGCCTGGCTCTGCCTCCTGAGTGCTGGGATTAAAGGCGTGCGCCACCACCACCCGGCTTGCTAAATGGATTTCTATTCCATCTAAATAAAAGTGTCCAAACCAAACCAAACCAACCAAACAAACAAACAAAGTCATTCAAAGGGGAGGTATAAGTAAAATACTTTTTAAAGGGAATTTTGTTGAGGTTGCCAGAGATGGAGACTCTCTGAGGTTTTCACACTGAGTCTTCTTCCAGAAAAGCAGATTTCTTTCTGATTTCTCACCATCAAAGCCTCCTGAGGAGATAGTTTTCTTTGAAGAATTATTTATAACCTTTTTTTTTTTTAAGGAAGAGGAAACCCCAAGACTGTTTGCCTATCTATAAATTAAAGATGGCACATTTCTCTTAGCTTTTTCTAGACACAGAGGACTATGATGAACACAATAACTCAGGCCGCACAGGGGATCCGGCTTGTTCCTGTGCCATCATACACTCTGATAATTTGTCTGTCAGCCCTGGGACTTTCACCACTGTATTGTCTGGAGTCATGGGCATAGCCCAGACATCAGGGAAACCTGGATGTTAGCAGTTCTATTAAATCCCTCGAATCAACTTTTTTTTTTTTTAAGCTTATTTTTAAATTATGACTCCAGAACACCAAGGTGTGGTTGGATCTTTTATGATGGGATCAAAAAGAAATCTGCATATGCAAAAGTCACATGCGTCCTTTGTCACTATTTGTTTAACAGCCATTCACCACAATGACAACAAGCTATGATTAGATTGCCATATAATTTCAATACATGAGGAGAGGCTATTGTAGAACTCGAGAAAGTTACTGGATAATTAGTAGTGCTTATCAAGTTGTTTCCTGCAGTTCTTTATGATCCATTGTTAAGACCTAAACCTAGAATTGTTAAATCCTAAGAATTCAAAATAATGTTCCTTTGCAGTGAAAATCTTGAGACTGACCCTTTTTACAAGTTCCCTGATTTCTGTGCCTTTCTGTGGAATGACGCCACCACACCTAAAATCTTTTGGTGTTGGTTAGTTTTGCCAACTTAACAGAAACTAGAGTCACCCGAGAAGAGGGGCCTCCATCTGATGAATTACACCATCAGATTGACCAGGTGGACCATATGCTTATCTGTGGGGCATTTTCTTGATCAGTGATTGATGTGGGAAGGCCCAGTCCACCGTGGGTGGTGCCACCCTGGGCAGGTGCTCCTGGGTTATGTAGCAAAGCAAGTTGAACATATTACTAAGACAATGAACTGGAACCCAGTTTATGACCAAGAGAGATAAATTTCACTGTAAATTTGACTAAAAATAAATGCAATAAATAACTAATGAATGATCCAAATAAGATCGGTATATAAAGTTGTTACAAAAGAAATGACCACCTGGACCCTAAAGGGAAATATAGAAAACTGCATTGTGGGTGTCCGTGTAGAATACAATGGTAGTCAGTCAACTTTCTTTTTGTTTGTTTGTTTGGTTGGTTGGTTTTTTTCGAGACAGGGTTTCTCCGTGTAGTTTTGGTGCCTGTCCTGGAACTCGCTCTGTAGACCAGGCTGGCCTTGAACTCACAGAGATCCGCCTGGCTCTGCCTCCCGAGTGTTGGGCTTAAAGGCATGCACCACCACCACCTGGCCAGCCAACTTTCTTAAAACAGCAGCCATGACAAGTCTGAGTTGCAATCCTGTCACAGCAGGAAACCACTTTAGAGTTGTATTTTTCTTAAAAACATGCTTAGAAGACATCTCTCCTTTGCCTTCTGCTAATCACTCCTCCCATCGGAGTTTTGGGTAATTCTTCTTTGCTGGTCCACCTCCTTCTTCACCCATCATGAACTTAACCACCTGGACCAGGGCACCTACTGACACCATCACGTCACAAAAACATCACATTCACCATGAGAAACCTGTGCTCCAACTTGTGTATTCATTCGAGACAGTCTCCTTACATACCCTAGGCTGGCCTCGAGTTTCCGATCCTCCTAGCTCAACTCTTGAGTTGTTGAGCTTTGCAGGCGTATGCCACCATGCCTGGTTTCTGGTTGATTCCTGTCTCTCTGGCTTCTGAGTTTCCAAGGAGACTGTCTATTCTGAATCACCTCCTCCTAACATGTCCTTCCTGGCCAAGCTCATGGCTTCCCTTTCGCTAGATCTTGCTTTGCTAGTCCACGCCCCGGCCTTTGCTGTAGCCATCAACCTTCTACGTCCCATCTTCCTCCCACTAAAGAACCAGTTCCTATCGCTTCTCAATGCACACCCTGCCTCCTCTGTGATGTGTACTCTAGAAACTGTGGCCTTCACTGATTTTACCCTGCTTGATGGTCTCCATCGTCTTCAGCTGTGGACCCTGGCTGCAGCATGCAATCACAGACGGCCTCCTATTGTTTGAATCTAACCGCAAGGTTAAAAAGGTTAGTTTTTTTCCATGTCCCCTAACTCAGGGCTAAGTTTACATCTACATCAAACAATAATTATTTGATTAATTTCGTGATTTTTAAAATTTTTTTCTAAATTAAGTTCATTTTCGCTACAGTGACCTAAGTTTGATACAAAAGCTTCAATTGTAAGAGGCACATTCATACTTAAATGACAAAACACAGCCATCAGGCAATTTAAAGGCAGTTACATGTCTTTATTACATAAACATAACATTCCTCATGGCAACTGATCTTCAGTTTGCTTCTTGCTTTGACAGAATATCAAGTGCCTGTAGAAATTCTCCAAGGATGATTTAAGAAAACAAAAATTCCCCTCACACCTCCAAAATATGTTTCGTTCCTACATTTCCCAATCACATTCTTAAGAAAAAAATAATAGGTTTTGTTTACTTTACAGAGTAATGTTTTCTTTCAAGGTATAAAAACAGGACTTCTCAATGAGTCCCCTTTGTTTACAAAGTCCTATAAAAATACATAAGGAAGCTTATGTTTGTCTCTTGACTCGATCGGTCCAGTTTACCAGAGATACCGAGATATGCAAGCCGTGTCAATCTTGCAGCAGCACAATGTCAACGTCGTCGTGAACACCCTGCAGGAGCAGCTCCCCTGTGTATGTGACGATCTTCCTTCGTTTTGCAGCTTTCAGAGTTCCCACCAACGCTTCGAAGAGGTTGGCACATCTGTCGTCCCGGAAGAGGACCCCAAACTTCACGCTTAACTTCCCATCAGCATCTAATTGCGGAAACACAGCGTGAGTAAATGCGTCTCGCCCCCATGGACGGCAACCCTGGAACATCTTGGGGAAACCTCTCACCCCGGGAAAACCACGATTAAAACATAACACTACGCCTCCTCCTACACTCAAGGAGCAGAATAAACATGGTACGCTTTGCAGAGACCGAAAGGGACAGAAAGCAGCCTTTATGAGAGGTGAATGTGGTCAGTCGTGGTGATACACACCTTTAATCTCAGCACTCAAGAGGCAGAAGCAGGCAGAAGTCAGTGAGTTCAAAGCCAGGCTGGTCTACACGGTAAGTTTCAAGCCAGCCAGGGCTACATTGTGAGACCCTGTCTCAAAGTTAAAAATATAAAAATAAAAATAAAAAATAAATGTGCTATAGGGTAGGAAGGCTGTAGATAAATTTTTCTCAGCTTTGATATTCAAAATTGTTTTTGGGGACTAGAGAGGTAACTCAGCAGTGAACAACACTGGCTGTTCTTCCCGATGGCCCAGGGTTCATTTCCCAGTTCCCACATGGCAATTCCTACTAACTATATGCAACTCCAGTTCCAGGGGCTCCGATGCCCTCTCCTGACCTCCACGGGCACCAGGCTCACATGTGGTGCACAAACATACGTGCGGGCAAAACACCCACACAAATTTTACTTAAAAATAAAATTTTAAAAAAATAGATCCTTTTGAAAAACAAATAAAAATAAAATTATGTTAGCTGCCAGATTAATATAGACAATAAGTAGAAGGGAAAGAGCATGTTCAGTGGTCATGATACACAGAAGAATATGCCCTTTTTTAATATGTTCTGTGGCTGAGCATCCAGTGAGTGCCCGGTCTTCTATGACTTCACTTCATGTTTCGATCTAGTCTTTTTTTTTTTTTTTTTTTGGTTTTTCGAGACAGGGTTTCTCTGTGCAGCTTTGCGCCTTTCCTGGATCTCGCTCTGTAGACCAGGCTGGCCTCCAACTCACAGAGATTCTCCTAGCTCTGCCTCCCCAGTGCTGGGATTAAAGGCGTGCGACACCACTGCCCGTCTGGATCTAGTCTTAATGAACTGTCTTCTCTTGCCCAAGGTGCCATGAGAGATCTGGCTTTTGTAACTGGACCCATGTTGAGTTATCAGCCCAGCATCCCAGACCCTCTTCTCTACCTAAATACCTTTATTCAAGAACAGAGTCAACTGTAACCTTCCCTGAGACTTCCTTCACAATTCTCAATTGCACTGGTTATCTCTTCTTACTAAACTGAGTGTGTGCCTATCAAAGCACACACCATCAACTTCAGTAACAATAGCACTGGAGAGACAGAGGCAGGTGAATCTCTGTGAGTTCAAGGACAGCCTGGTCTACAGTATTAGTTCCAGGACAGCCAAGGCTGTACACAGAGAAACCCTGTCTCAAAAAAAACAAAAACAACAACAAAAAGATACATTCAATTTTAGAGACTTTAAAATGCAAAGTGTCTGAATTAATGAAACATTATTATTCTATTAAAAAGGAAATCAAGACACAGAAACATATGATAGAGTGCACAAGATCACCCAGCAAGTATGAGAGGAACAGCAGTCATTCCTAGAGTCTGGCAGGAGTCCATATTCCGGTTTGACCTTCTTTTAAAAAACTTTTAGACAAGGTCTCAGTGGTCTAGGGTGGCCTTGACCCACCAAGAGCTGGGATCACGGGCAAGTATCATCACAATTAGCTAAGCCCATGCTCTTAACCTCTTCCAAGTGCACTTCCAGTCTGCCCATCTCCAGATGCCCAAAGAACACCTTCAGGACTCAAATAGAATTTTTTTTCAATTCTATATCCTCTATACTTGAGCCCCAAGAAGATATTCACGAATCCTTGTTGGATGAAAGAATTTCGATCTCCACATAATCATATTCTCCACTTCATCTTTTCTAACTGGATGAAAAAGGAGACTTTAAAGATTCGGACTTTCAAAGAGACAGATAAGATTTCCTTCATCAATTTCTAGTAGGAGCTCATACATCATAAGCAGATTAGTCAAAAATCACTCCAGGCTCAACTGAAAAAAGCCATAACATGTCAGAAGATGACAGAGTGCCACATACACGCCCCAACTCAACCAGTCACCTTCTGCCAATGATGAAGTCAAGGTGTTCTGGTAAGGCTGTGAATTTTAAAGTACTTTCATGCATATGCATGTTATGATAATGAGCTTGTCTTCTAATTTGTAAAGCTGCTCATTTTGAAGTGGAACTTCAGATCTCGCCCCAGGAGAACACAGACACTCTTTTCAGGAGTGCAAAGGTTGGTATTTTAAAGCTAGCTGAACCTGACCATGAACACCAGGTTGACATGAACAGGAACAGCCTACCAAGTCCTGGAAATATGCTCTTAGCTATCCAAACATACTAATTCCAAGTAATGCGATCCTACTGGAGCTGGAGAGACCCAGGAGATGTGGTACTGGTGGAAATGAGACCTCCCCAGACTTGCATCAAGTGGGTGTAGTGTGTAGTGAAGGGGTAAGAGCATCGTGGAGTTAGGAAAGACTTGTTTGACTGGAGACCTAAATGTTAATAAGTTACACTCTCCAGTGTCTTCTCAGTGTTCTACACAAACATAATTCATTCCCATTCCAAGTCCACCTCACGTGTCCCCTCCTCAACAAACCTGCCTACACGTCTACATGTCCAAGTCCCACCTATTCAAGGCTTAACCAAGTAAGTGCTCCCACTCTACCAATGATCTATTGCACAGGAACCACAGTGAAGTGAATGCCAGCACTTCATAGTCTAGCAAGCCATTTTTTTCCTTGATAATTGCCTCATCAATTTTTAGTATTTTCTTTTCTTTCTTTCTTTCTTTCTTTTTTTTTTGTGGTTTTTCCAGACAGGGTTTTCTCTGTTAGCTTTGGTGCCTTTCCTAGGACTCACTCTGTAGCCCAGGCTGGCCTTGAACTCACAGAGATCCACCTGGCCCTGCCTCCTGCATGCTCAGATTAAAGGCGTGCGCCACCACCGCCCGGCAACTATTTTCATCAATTAAGTGATAAGATGCTTGAAGAAAAGGAACATGCCTATGTCACTTGTACGTATACAGGGCTTGGTACACCTGGGAGAGCAGTATCAGCCAGTGACAAGATGATGAACACATGTGGCTGTGACCTCCACAACACTGCCACACGTCTCTACTTGACATCTCAGTTACGGTGTCAAAATAAAAGGACTAGAGTAGACTCAAGGAGGAGGAAGCTGTGTGGTTGATATAGTGTGCACCCCGATAAACTTATCTGGGGGTCAGAGAACAGAACAGCCACTACATTAAACACAAGTTTAGGCAGGGGTAGCACACACCTTTAATCCTAGCATTCAGGAGGCAGAGATCCGTCTGGATCTCTGTGAGTTCAAAGCCACACTGGAAACAGCCAAGCAGGTGACTCACGCCTTTAATCCCAGGAAGTAATGGCAGGAGGCAGAAAGGTATTTAAGGCGTGAGGACAAGGAACCAGAGGCTGGTTAAGCTTTTAAGCTTTTAGCAGCAGTTCAGCTGAGATCCATCTGGATAAGGACTCAGAGGCTTCCAGTCTGAGGAAACAGGATGGGCTGAGAAGTTGGCAAGGTGAGGTTAGCTGTGGCTTGTGCTGCTTTTCTGATCTTTCAGCATTCACCCCAATACCTGGCTCTGGGTTTATTTTTATTAATAAGACTTTTTAAGATTTGCGCTACAAAGCTGGAACTGGCTCAGTGGTGGAGCACCTGCTCAGCATGTCTGAGAGCGTGAATTCTATACCAGGACTGCCAGAGGGAGCAGGGAGAATAACGCCACCCAAAGACAACCCACGTTCTAATCTGTAGAACCCGTGAATACCTTCCCTTACAAGGCAGAAGGAATTTTTCAAATGCGATTAAATAAGGGCTCGAAAATGGGGCATTGTTCGGGATTATCTGGATCCAATTCATGGAATCCTAAGAGTTCTTAAGAATGGAAGAGGGAGGCAGCGTCATGAGGTGTGAGGACACCCAACTCCCCACGCTGTTGCTGGTTTTGAAGGCAGAGAAAGGGAGCCATGAGCCAAGGAATGCAGGCAGCTCCCGAAGCTAGCGAAAGTAAGGAACTGCATACAGTCTCCTCAAAACCCTCCAGAAAGGACGGAAGCCCATCAGCACCTGGATCTGAGCCTGGAAAGACACTCATTAGACGCCTGAACTACACGAAACAGGAAATGCGTCCTGCTGTTAAACATCTCGAGTTACCATTGCTAAGTCTGTGGTAACTGGCTACAGCAGGAATAGAAAGCAAGCGCCGGGGGCTGGGGAGAGAGCTGTGCGAGCATGGGGGCTTGCATTCAATGACCAGGACCCACAAGAAATGGGGGATGCACACCGAGGAGGTAAAGACAGAGGGATCCTGGGGCTCACTGGCCAGCCAGCTTAGTCTATTTGGTGAGCCCCACGTCCCAATGAGAGACATCGTCATCTCAAAAAACAACTGAAGAGGAGTCCCAAGGAATGACACCTGAGATTAACCTTTGACCTCTACATGCCTGTGCACAGCCATGCACGTACACACAGAAGGGGAAGACAACTAATACACGAGACAGTAGGAATTAACAGCTTCACGGAATCCGTTTAAAGTGCGTCTATCCTCCTATACTAAAGGATTTGTAACTCATAAGCAAACAGTTCTAAGGAGAAAGCAAGCTATAATGACATAGCTTTTCTTTCCTTTCCTTTTGAGACAGGGTTTCATTGTACAGGCCAAGGTGGCCTTCAACTTGTGATGCTCCTGCCTCTGCCTCCCACGTGCTGAAAGTACAAGGGTGCAATGTTTGTTTATGAGATGCTCTGAAACATCAGTTTCCATTCATATAATAATTTTACAACTTTGAATTCCACTATTCTAGTTGATGCCGAATATGTCCATTATTCCATACGCTCTCCAGTCCTTGTACATCTCAGATGTAGCAAATGTACCTCATGCTACAAGTACAACCATTTCAGTACAAGTTAGGAGAAAGAGACCAATACACCAACTTCACATTATTGCTATTCTTACTATAGCTGCTTGGCTACTGAAGACAAAGACACCAAAAAAAAAGATCTAAAAGTCGGTTTATTTTACTATGATGTCTGAAATTGTACAAATCCCAAGAACTCGCCTGGCAGTGGTGGCGCACGCCTTTAATCCCAGCACTCAGGAGGCAGAGCCAGGTGGATCTCTGTAAGTTCAAGGCCAGCCTGGTCTACAGAGTGAGATCCAGGATAGGCACCAAAACTACCCAGAGAAACCCTGTCTCAGAAAGAAAAAAAAAAAAAAAACTTCCAAGAACTCAGAGAAAATGAAGACAGTTGTGATGGCTATTCCTGGTTGTCAACTTGACAACACCTAGAATTAACTCAAATAAAACTTAAGCAGCTGGGTATACCTGTGAGCAACTTTTTTCTTATTTAAATCATTTGAAGTGGGGAGACCCACTTTTAACCCAGATCTTTTGAGGATGGGAAGATTCACCTTTAATCTGGACCACACCTTCTGGTGGCAGCCCATACCGATATAAAGGGCATGGAAGAAGGAAGCTTGCTCTACTTGCCTGCTTTCACTCACTGGCAAGTCCATTCCTTCCCTGACAGTAGAGCCTACTTCTTCGGGATTCTGGCATATTCTGAAGACCACCTGAGACATCCATCCTCATGGACTAAACAACTACTGGATTCTTGGATCTTCCATTAGTAGACAGCCATTGTTGGACTAGCTGGACCACAATCTGAAGGCATTCTAATAAATCCTTTTTCTACACATATATAGATTAGTTCTGTAAGTTCTGTTCCTCTAGAGGGGCCTAATACAACAATTTAGTGTAATATCAGTCTAAATCTCTGGTCACTTACAAATTTATAAAATAAAATAAAGCAGAAAACAAGAATTTTAACAGCAAAAAAAAAAAAAATCAACCTAACTCAAATGCTAGACTTTAATACAAACAAAAGAAGCTCAGTGATTTTTCAATTCAAAAAATAATAAAGCATCTCCACTATTCTCTGCCTCAGAAACCCGCACCCCAACAGCCCTGTGTCTCAAACACCCCTTGAAGACGAAGAACATTAGCACCTCAGGTTGTGGGCAGAGTGTGTCACTGTGTCCTAAGTCCGGCTCAGCTTCTCCAGAATGCCTTGAGGTATACTGAAGAAACACTCCGCATTAGAATACTTACTTTTAGAGCCCAGTCGCTGAATTTCCTCCACTAGGAGGTTAACTTCATGATCCACGTTCATTGCTGGCTGAAAGAGAAAGCAAGTTTATATTACAGCCATTTCTTTTTTTCTTTCTTTCTTTTTTTTTTCTTTTTTTTTTTCCCCCCGAGACAGGTTTTCTCTGTGCAACTTTGGAGCCTGTCCTGGAACTCACTCTATAGACCAGGCTGGCCTCAAACTTACAGAGATCTGCCTGGCTCTGCCTCCCTAGTGCTGGGATGAAAAGCGTGCACCACCACGGCCTGGCCGTTACGGCCATTTCTATACTCCATCAGGCACCCAGCAATCCAAGGGCCCTTTCTCAGTTTCATGCAGCATCTGTCACTATTATTGACCACGCCTCTCTTCTACTTGTATGAAGTATAGGGCACTAAAGTGGCTCTGCTTTCCCTCTACCTATAGAACTTGCCTCTCCGTTGCCCCACTCCCGTGACTGCGGGCTACTAGGGAGAAGATGGCCTCTCTCCTTGCACGACAGTATTACTCCTTGCACGACAGTATTACTCCTTGCACATCTTGTCAGAGAGTGCTGCTAAGCACCCAGACAGCAAAAGGTCACAGGATCCATGCTCAAGGTAGAGAAAGGCCTCCAATGAATAGCAACGTGGCACGCACTCTCTGGGTGCTGGGTGCAAGGCATTATAGGCAGGCTGCTGTGGATATCGCTCTGTATAAATAAAATGCTGATTGGCCAGTAGGAAGTATAGGCGGGACAAGCAGAGAAGAGAACTCTGGGAAGTGGAAGGCTGAGTCAGGAGACGCTGCCAGCCGCCACCATGAGTACCAACATGGAAGATACTAGTAAGCCACAAGCCATGTGGCAAGGTATAGATTTATAGAAATGGGTTAATTTAAGATGTAAGAACTAGATAGCTAGAAGCCTGAGCCATTAGGCCAAACAGTTTAAATAATATAAAAGTCTGTATGTTTATTTTATAAGTGGGCTGCAGGACTGCCGGGGCTTGGCGGGAGCTGGAGGGAAACTCTCCAGCTACAGCAGGAGAGGACGGGGAAGGTGGACCAAGTGGACACTTGGGAAGGAACATGCTATACAAAGGTAAACGTAAATGGAAAATTATGGAGACAAAGGAGAAAACACAAGACACAGCTGAGGCAGGTCCTGAACTAGGAGATGGAGTGTGGAGACCCACAGAAGTTTCCTAGTGAGATCTGAGCTTGCTTTACCCAGCAGGACTTCATAGGGGAATGATTTGACCATGGGCATGGTTACTAAGTGTTTGGAAGGATCTGCACTTGGCTGTGTGGTATGATTTGACTTAGCAAGGGAAAGGTCTTTTGCCCCGCCCCTTGGCATTGTTATAAAAAGCTCACTTTAAAAAAACTTTTTTAAGCCATTTTGAAGAGACAGAAGGGGCCAGTGGATTTTGATCCAGGTCCTCCTGAAGCTATCTTGTGTTTCTGTGTTTCCTCTATCTTTCTATTTAAAAGTTTCTTATTCCTCTCTCCTCTTCATAGGAACCCTTTAAAAGGTGGGGGCTGGCCTCCCACAACGGAGATGCCAAGATAAACGACATGCTCCTTGCTCTTTGGGAGTCTGGGGTCTAGAGGTGATACAGACCCATCCCAAGGCCACATGAATACCTTCAGGTCGGTGCAGTCATAACTTCCGGTTCACATACAGGAACATCACACCTTTCTTTGGATTCTGCCCATGAAAATTGCCTGCTTTGCACCACGTGTACTGAAGACCATTCATTTCCCATCACGAAGAGTCCATGTTAATGAGAGCCGAGCCTGTTAAGTCATGCTAAGTCCTGCTGTGGCTTGCTAAGTCTTCCACAGGCTGGATTCTGGCCTCTGTTCCAGCCTCCTCCACTGTCCACTTGAGCACTAAGCTGCAGCTCCGGGAGTCTTTCTATTCCTCAAATACCCCTGGCAAGGCTGCCAGCCTCCTCTGTCTTCTTACTTCTGCTCAGGCTATTCCCTTTCCTAGGCTCATCAATCAGTCCCAGCTTGAACGGAACATCCACCAGAAAGCATTCCCTCATCTGAGGAGGGCGCCCCTACTGGGTGTTCTGCAGCACTGCATGCCTCTTTTCTTTCCGTTGGAAAGACTGGTTTCTGAGCTTTCCTCGCTAGAAGGTAAATTCCTCTCCACAGGGATCTGACTTAAATATTCCTTGTTACCATGCCTGGGACCAAGAGGAGAGGTTAAACAAACCCCGTTTCATGAACTAACAAGAACAAGCAAAGGATGCTGGGATAGAACTCCACGTGCGGAGACCAGCAAGTATGAGCGACTGGGCAGGAGCGGTGTCGATTCAATCTGCTTTCACAAGAGAAGTTCTCCAGGCTGAGTAACGAGCTAAAAGGTGGAGCTGTGTTACTGTTTTCATTAAGGTGAAGGCTTCAAAGAAACAACTTCATCCAGATGGATTATTACTAATCCCTGGGAGCTTCTAAAATAAGAGTGTCATCTACAACTGGATACCACCTGCTTAAATGACACTGATTGGGGACACCAGATTTTCTTCCAGCTAATAATCAAATGTGCCACTACCATCTGCTGTTATTTGCATGAACACTGGAATTGAAGGGGCTGATCGCAGTAAAACGCAAACTCTTCAATTAAATGCAACTCTCTAAGACTTACTATTAATAATAATACTGTCCATGCCTGGTGTGGTGGCACACGCCTTTAATCCCAGCACTGGGAGGCAGAGGCAGGTGGATCTTTGTGAGGTCAAGGCCAGCCTGGGCTACAAAGTGAGTTTCAGGAAAGACAGGGCTACAACAGAAAGACCCTGTCTCAAAAAAAAAACCCAAAAATAAAAAAATAAATGTATAATGTCCAACTGTATTGGGGACTTTTGTGCTGGTGAAAACATAATTATGTAATTCAAGGCACGATTTAAAAGTGATGATACTAAGAAGCTAAAATATCCCCAGAGGACATAGAATAATGGTGGAAGTGAACCTCTGTCAGTGGTGGTCAGTCGCTGTTTTGTGGGGCCAGTACTGTTTTCCCACTCTGGCACAAGCAGTCTAAGTTTTGTTTGGGGACAATGCTTCCCCCTTTACTCCAGAGCCATGTATGTGGACAGAGCATTATCCTCAGCTCCAGAAGTGACCCAGTCAGTGGGATTGGTTAGAGGCATCAGGTTCCTCATCTGAGTTAATTCATATAATTATTTTATTTTTAAGCTTTCAAAAAAACATTTATTTATTTGGCGGAGCACACGTATGTGGAGGTCTGAGGACAAGTACTCTCATTCAAAACAGTCAAGTTCAACCCCAAGATCTTGCCAGACTATTAGTAAATAATTTCCCCTGGCTCTAAGATGTGGGTTTACAACCCTGGTGTAAATGGTTACCCTATGGGAAGACCCAGCTAGGAAATCCAGCAGAAGGAAAATCTAGTCATAAAAATGACTCAGCCTGTCCCCGAGATCGTGGATATTTTGGTTATATGAACCAACGGCATTTACCCTGTTTATAACGTGTGGCAGTTTGTATGAATGTCTATTACTTGCATGCTAAAGAATATTGATCCAAAAAGTTAGCTTAACTGTCATTTAAGAACACACACACACACACACACACACACACACACACACACACACACACACACACACGAATCTGTACACACACACATTCACGATGTACCTGCATGCACAGGCATGCCCACACATGTAGGCAGGGGTGGGGGGAATGACACAAGACAAGATTTGGGAGTCATATAAAAATTCTCTACAAAACTGCCCTGTTTCAGGAAGTAAGGATTTGTGGGAATGAAAAGAAAAAAAAAAAAAGAGCCAACCTGAACTGAAGGGAGAATGATTATAGAGACTTCTGAGTCTGCTGCCTGTACATTTTTCTCTTCAGCATCATTCTGTCCCACTCTCTACTTCTGACACCAGGGAGATTTATATCTCATCTGGTGAGAAACAAAGAGGAAGGCCCTCTGTCATGTGCCATAGGCATAACCGCTTCATTAAAATGGGCACTCATCCAGTTTTAAGGCAGGCAGGCAGAGGGCATTTCTTTATAATTAATGACACACCAGGCTCCTTATCTGAGTTCATTCATGTCATTCTTTTATTTATTTTTTAATAGCTTTTTTGCATTTATTTATTTTTCGAGGGTGTGACTGTGGAGATGAGACACAACATGTGAGTTTCCCATGTGGATCCCAGGGATCAAAATCTGGTCCTCAGGCTTGGCAGCAAGTGTCTTTATGCACTGATCCATTCATTCAGCTACCCTAATTCATGAAATTCTAAGAACCCTACAGAGCATTTATTACTTATCCCGTTTTATTGAGAATGAAACAAGCTCACAATGGTTAATGCCACAAAGCGTGGTTCCTAACACATCCCTTTGCCACTTCTTCTTCTTTTGCTATTATGCAAATGAATCTAATGTAATAGTGTATTCTTATGTAATATCATATGCTGAGTACTTATTAAGGCAGATCGTTTACAAAGCAAGACAAGGCTCCTATGCATAGGGAAATAATAGGTTTACTACTGTTAACACACACACACACACACACAACTTGGCATGTTTTAGTCATTTATTACGGGAGGGGACAAAGAAGAAAACCTTCACATTATACAATCTTTGGGAGACCCACGGCAGTCTAAAAGCGGGACAGAAACCTTCGACTGGAGCGAGCCAGATCAAGAACAATGAGAGGTCACAAGCAGAGCAAGCCTAGGAAAAAGAGCCTGTCTGTGAGAGGCCGGAAGAATGGCAGCGGCAGATGTTAGCCGGGCTGCCTAACTGTCACAGTCTCTAATTAGGCTGTCTGAGTGGGGCTCACAAAGAGTAGGGCTGTGGCAAACGCTGGGAAGCTCCATCAATACACATTTGGAAAGGTAGGTCGGGAGCGTCCTCTGGTTATGTTTTAAAACTCCAAAGGCAATAGGTCAAGGAAATAAAGCCTACTGGAGTCGCCTCCCCTGGGATCCCGCAGCCAACTTCACAGTCTCCTGGCGCTCTTCCAGTCTCACTTCTATCGCCAACAGCTGGCGCGGGTCAAAGGCTGACCCGGTGCCTTCCTCCTCATTCGCTAGATCGAGCACACTCCATATTTGGTCATCCCTCCTACAAGTTTGAGGGCTTGCCAAATAAGGGTCCCCAAATCCTGGGGCCTACGGGTACCCCACTCGCTCACCCCTTAACTGGTGGCACAGGGCTGCGGAGCCCAGGACCCCAGGCAGGGCTTTGTCTCCGCCACTCACTCGCCCTTGGTTCCCGCACGGCCAGAGCCCCCCCCCCGAGGGCACTGTCCGGGGGGACCCCACGCGTCCCCTCACTCACCCGCCCTCCGCACTGCAGAGGGCACTGTCCTGATGCCACTTTACTCCTCCGGGATCCCCCGCCCCCCGCCCCTCGCCCAGCCCTTCCTCACCCAGCTCTGCAGAACCGCACCACAAACCGACGCCAAGTGCAAAACCCACCCACCCACACATTGCACCGCGGCAAACCTCGGGTCGGGCTGCAGCACCTTTCCCGGTCCGCCCCGCCCGGCAAAACGTCACGTGAGCCCAGTGCGGAAGTGTGCCGGCCGAGTGGGGTGCCCGCGAGTGGGGCACGGGGTGGGGTGGGGTGGGGGGCGCGTGCCCACGGTCCCTCCGGCGACACCTCGGCACCTCGGGGTCCCCGCCCTCCACCCGGGGCTCGACCCCCAAGACGTCGGGTCCAGCCTTTCCTCCCCGGGACTCGCTCACCTACCTCTCCGATCGCTTCCTTCTTCGCGGAAGAGCTGCTGCCGCGTGGGTCTGGACCGGGTTCTCTGGCTTCCGCGCCCCGGGGAGGAACAGGCTGAAGAAGGAAGTGGCCCCGGCGAAGAGAAAGGCTGCGGTGGAAGAGGGAGGGGAGAAGGAGAGGCGTGGGGGGCAAGTGAGACTAAGTGCTCTCTGGAAAGGGGCCGCCCACTCTCCCGGGACACGCCTAGGAGGAGGCAACCAGAGCGGATGCCGGAGCTGCAGGCAGGCTTCTAGGAATGCCGACCCAAAGTGCCATCACCTCTCTCCATCCTACGCAGTCAGGACCCGCATCTGACACTAGGCATTGATTTCCTGCCGGGATATCTTACCCGACAAGAGAGAAAGCTCCTCACCGTGCTGAATCCTGAGGTCTCCTCGGAAAATCGTGACTCACATGGGTTCTGTATGCCAGGAAACAAAACAAAAAAAAAAAAAAATACTGTCTGAATTGGACAAACCTGGTTCTTGATCTTGGGTCAGAGCAGATGTTTCTCTCCATTGTTTCCTGCATTTAACTTCATGATTCAAATTATTCAAATTCTCTTTATTTCCATCGTATGTGTGTAATACACTTGCCCTACCCAGAGTTTTCAAAAAAAAAAAAAGAAAGTCAACCCAAATTATTTTTACAGTAGTTTCAATTGTAACTGCGAGGGAAAGTTCTCTCCCCAACCCTAATTAATTGTCCAGGTCACCAGCGTTTTTAGTTGCCTACGCCTTTGATCCCAGCACTCCACAGAGGCAGGCTGATCTCTGAGTCCAGCCTGATGGACAGAGTGAGTCTCAGGACAGCCAGAGCTATGTAGAGAGAATCTGTGTCAAAAAGTCAAGTCTTCGCCAACCCACACACGGGCTCTCGAAGAACAAGGATCTACCAGGTCTCATCAAGCAGTAAGATTAGCAGTTATCCGACAACCCTGGTGAAAGGCTACGATCTTTAGGACCAACCACACTCTCCCTTGGAAATTTAAAGTGGTAACCGTGGAGAATGAGCCATCTGGGTTGAGGCCATCAGGTCCAGACAGAGGCCCAAAATGGATTTTCATTAAGCAAGAAACTTGATCATGCCGGAACGGGCGCGGGGGTGGGGGTGGGGGTGGGGGGGGGTGGGGGTGGCGGGGGACTAGAAGTGGGGTGGAAAGTTTGGGTTGGAGTCTGTGAGAAGCTGAGACTTTGATAGTATGAGAGTTTTTCATGTCAGACTAAGATTAAGGTAACTCCAAGATTCCTCGGCCTGTTTTTGTCCTCTCAGAAGCTGAAAATCTGTCATTTATGTCTTTCAAAGTATACATAATGTAATGCAAAAAAAAATATTGTTGAAGAAAAATGCCATTTTTTATCAATTCCTCAAGCAAGGCCGCCTACACTGTAGAACCACTTCTGTTCTGATGAAGCAATTTCCCCATACTCTGTGAGCAAGGGAAAAAACGTAAAATAGATTATTTTAACTAAGTTAGTAAAAATTGTTCCTTTGATACTTAATTTACTCTCAGCCCTGCATGGTGTTGTGCATGTGAGCCCAGCCCTGGGCAGGTGGAATCAGGAGGATCAGGAATCCAAGGTCAATCTCAAACACAAAACAATGGAAGGCCAGTCTGGGCTATATGATATCTTAATAATAATAATAATAATAATAATAATAATAATAATAATAATAATAATAATAATTTACTCTTCTAAAAATATGGCATTTGTACATATGCTCCAGTAAGTCTACAGAAGGAATAATAAACATATTAACCTACTGAATATAGGAATTGTAATTCAAAAAAGTACTTTGTGGTTTTTGTTTTGTTTTAGATAAGATCTCACCATGTAGACCCGGCTGGCCTGGCACTTGCCATGTAGACCAGGCTAGCCTTGAATTCATAGAGATCCATCTGCTTCTGCCTTCAGAGTGCTGGGGTTCAAGAAGTATGCCACTATCCCCAGTTTAAAAGAGAAGTCTGATGAAAGAAATCATGAAAAAAGTATTTTTTAAATTCAAATCATATACTTTCAGTTTTCATTCAAACTTTTGTTGTTTTCTTATAGAAATATTGTCATATACAATGTAAACAATAGGGAACTTCAACCTGAAA